AGTTTCACATCACTCAGACGGGACTGATGCGACACTGGAGTGATGATCATTCCCAGACGTACAAGAACCATCTGCCTGTTCTTCAATACTATTGTCAACATGTGCTTGTTGACAATCCATGCAAGCTGTGCTCAATTGCTTTTGCACAATATCATCGTTGCATTATTTGGCGACAATTAGCTATGCTGATTACAGAACGTGATTTAGCTGCTGTGTACTGCGACATCGACATGCAACTTCAGCTTGTATGTGACATTTGTGGCAAGGCCTATACGACCAAACATGGCCTGGCTCAGCACATCCAGAAGTTTCATTCTGCGCAACAGGCGCTGCAAGATTCTAACTGGAATCGTGTCACTGCCAAGTGCCTTTTCGATCAGGCAGTACAGACGAATCGCTGTGAAGATGTGCTCAGCGATCCGGACATCCTTCACTTCATTTCGAGGGAGTGTTTTGACTGCAGTGTGACATTTCGAAGGCGTCAAGATTTATCTAGACATCTCAAACAGGGACATCCTTCTGAATGGGCCGAGATGGAACAACGAGCCTCAGAACTGATGATCAATCTGAATTGTGTCCAAAGATGTCTCTGTGATCCCCCTCAACATCGGGTGAAGCATCTCTGCATGGTGTTCCTACAGTTCTCCTTGGCCAGGATTCAATGGGAGCGTGAACAATGTCATGATGCTGCAGCTCTCCCTCCTGATCTTGCTCTGAAGTCACAGGAGAAAATGGAGCAACTGCTGTGGTTTGGATTTGGACATCTTCTCTACAGACTGCCGGAATTGAAGCGAGCTTTGACTCTACACTGCCAGTTCTGTGACTTCATCTGCAGGTGTGGCGATGACCTTGCACTCCATGTCCATCAGCATCATGAGGGACTCGTGGCTGAGAGCTCGATTTACCTGCAGCTCCTGCGGTGGACCTTGTTCCAGGAGTTTGGTTGTGCCTGTAACCCTACTAGAGGCTATGGGACTCCTGGTCATACATGCACTGCATTGCTCCAGGCTGCGATGTTGGGAGTTCAGGCTCACTGGCCACTCATGCTTCCGTGGATTTTCCGTGCCACTGAATTGCTCTCGCATATTGGTGACTTACTGCCCCTGAATGCCTTCAAAAGGATTTCCCTTTGGCTGATCACCAGGAAGTTTGAGAATCTTTGGCGAGACTCAGATCTGATGACAATGCTGAAGTCTTACTGCACCATTTGTGGTGAATCTGTACCGCTGCCGTACATCACAGTGCATTTGCGGTTGGAACATCAGCTGGGACCCAATGACTTGCATCCTGTGGTCATGCAACTTTGCAGGATCTTCAGTGCGGAACATTCTGAAGATCCACATTGCGATCACTGCGGGGCTCTGCTGCCGACCTTAGACATTCTGGAATTTGATCCTGTCCCAGAGATTCACTTGCCTGGCTGTCCATTGATTCAACATCTTGCGGCCTTTCTGATGCATCCGGTGCTTCACAAGCCGCAACTTGACCATTCTGCATGGCCATCACCCCAGGCAATTGAGTGTGCCTTCCAACGTCAAGACCATCAGCGAGTGATGCACAACGCAAGGCACTTAGACTCCTCAGGCAGTGAATTTGACTCCCTGATCACATGTGGTCTTCAGCTTCTTCATGATGACTTGATCATTGAAATTATCAACACACAATGTCTTATTTGCCACAAGCTGCTGATTCTGCCGGGTGCTCTCACACAACACGTGAAACAGCATGACTACAAGCAATACAACACATTGTGGATATTTCGACGGCTGCAGATGATTTGTCAGCCATGTCCATGTTGCGGCTCAGACCTACATGAGGATAATTTTCCCTGTCCGGCCCTGTTGAACTTGGCCATCCTGCTCACCAATGGGCGACGCTCTCGACAAGGCGAGTTCGATTTGGGCCAACCTGCTTACGCAGGATCAGCTTCGAAGCTTGGGAATCAAGGAAGAAGACACCAACAAGCCCAACAAGCGACCTCGCAGAAAGGAGCGCAACGACTCCAATTCCACGGCATCAGATCACACCAAGGCGATGGTTCAAGTGATGGCCAAGATCCTTCTTCGACACGAGGACAGTCTTCATGTCCTGCTTCAGGAATACGAATTTGTCCTCTGGATCCAACCGGGGGAGGGCAGCTTGCTGCCAATTCTGATGGCCTGTCACTTGGAATGGCAGAAGGGCTGCAAAACCATCAGCCTCAGGCACTCCATGGCCTTGCGGACGATCGAGACTCTGAAGGACCGCCTGGACAAGTTACAGCAGGCTCCAGCCAGCGCAGATGTGGTCAAGGACTGCATCAAATTCCATCTCATCGATGCGAATCAGATGATGCCCTTCCTTCGTTGGGATGCAGGGGCTCAGCAGTTGCTCCCGACCAAGGACAAGCCGCTGCCGATTGGCGAGGTGAGCCGTATCATCCAGACGATCCATCAGATACTCCAGTCGGAGCCGGAGATCACCCTTCGCTTCCATTCCCTCTCGAAGGCTCAGTTGGCAGAGGAAACCGGGAAGGCAGTTCCATTTCTTTGGACAGTGGGCAGCCGAACCCAGGGCGAGCTATGGAATCTCTTGCGCACAGTGTCATATCACAGCATTTGGCAGCTTGTGAGATTGACGTTACGGCCACAGACTCAACAAAGAACAGCACTTGCGAAGCAGCTGGGAAAGATGATGTAGATGATCAGACCAAATTTTTGGTGAGGATCTTGGAGAATGACACCTCCACCATGTGCTTTGTCAATGCTGCACTCATCGCTCTTGCTTGGTGTACTTTGCTGTGTCAGGGTCTGAATCCTCAATGCTGGGCATTTGGTTTCGAACTTATGAGGGGAATCTGTCAATGGAACCCGTTTCCGTTGAATCTGAGGGGCTTCCAGCCATTCTTGTGGCTGCTTTTTGGGGCGTTCCAGATTGAAGACCTTGCGGTGCAACAAGATATTTTGGAGTTTACAGCCTTCATCATTGATCGCTTGAGCCCAACTTTTCTTTCTTGTCGCTGGTGCACAAAGTTCCAGCACATCACCCAAGTGTCACATCCGATGTTGGACAGCGAAAAAGGTGACAGATACGCTCCCATCTTGCGCAGGTTCATCAATTACCTTGCCGACACTTGCAATCTCACAGATTTGATTGAGCACTGGCATGATCACTTAGGTCTTTGTCGAGCAAGCAATCAGGAGCGTCGATGTCTCATTTTGATGTTCGACAGACACATAGAGGGACAGAACGTCAAATGCACTCAGAAGATTCAACTGATGTCCGACACTGTTCATTTTCCTTGTTTTACGGATGCTGAGGGCCAGGTCACTTATTTGCCATTTTGTATTGCTGCTGTTGCGTACCACATTGGACATACACCAAATACTGGTCATCATCGAACGGCATTGCGATATCATGGCAAATGGCTTGTTTACGATGACAACAAGCTTCCTGATCAACTTTCAGAGCTCAGTGATGACATCTTGCGCAACATCACAATGCTTTGGCTCATCCAACCAAATGACATTGCTGTCAGGACCATGCATCGACAGACTGCTCAGTTGCCCTCCTTGGAACGGCCGACACCAGCCTCTTTGGCCTCTCCCAGTGCAGCTTCCAACGAGGCAATTGATCCGAATCCTGGTGCATTGGAGGCTGCCTTGGCCAGAGCTACGGAGGAGCACACCACTGCCATTGAGCCTGCTGCAAAGAGATCTCGCTCTGATGCAACATAGTTTCACTGTTTTGGAATTCACAGATTTTCTGATGTGATGCTGATAAATTCATTCCTATGATTTCAGTGTTCTCTTTTTATGCACGCTGTTTTGCAACAGACGGCATTTTGCCGACAAGCCTAGACGGTTCCTTCGATTCGAATGCCATTTTGGCAACTCTGATGACACGGCATTTTGCTGACTTTTTTGACTTGCCTAGCTGGCGCTTTCGACGATATGGATGCATCCGCATCTTTCCCATGACTCTGGCCCCCAGGCTGGAAGGACCCTGTTCATGCCCTCCGCACCCCGGAGTGTACCCCTGGCTAGCCCCGAGAAGATGGCAAAAAAAAAAAGAGGGCCAAGAGGCATAAAGCCCATCAAACAAGAAGCCCCCCCCCAAAAAAAAAGAAGGATTTGTCATCTAGGCTGCGGATACCTCCTGCGCTGGCGCTATTGTTGCTGCGGCTCTTTTGACTTCGAGCAGCCGTTGCGCTATAGCATTGGGCATGGCTACTTTGTGCTCTGCGCTGCCCCATCATCTGGCGATGCCTCGCTGCAATTTCCACTGAGCCATTCTGAGTAGTTCCGTTTTCTTTCTCCTGAAGCTTCTCACACATTAGCAATTTCCTCAATTTGTTTTTCTCCATGCACATCCGTTCACACCACAATTGACGGTGGAACTTTTGGGATGTTGCAAGAAAGCTCCACGGAGCATATACTGGTCTGAAAAGTCCCATTCAACGGTAGGCACCTGCAAATCTACCGGCATTGGGCCGCATACGAATATTGTATGTGAAGGGCTCGACCTGCTGACTAAATAGTCATGGGGTTCAAAAAAAACACACACACAAACACACACACACAAAAAACAAACACACACACACAAACACACACACACACACAAAACACACACACAAAACACACACACACAAAACACACACACACAAAAACACACAACAAAAACACACACACAAAAACAAAGGAGAACAGACAAGTGAGCACAAACAGTGAGAGAACATCAAAGAATGACGCAGCCTGATTTCACTCTTTATATCAGCAGAAGCTGGCTTTGCAGGGTGATGGCAGGCCAATTTATCGTACACCATTGCAGGCCTTTGCCCCTCCCATCCTCTGCCCAATACAAATACCGTTAGATAGGACAGTTGCTCATCTGAAATACTGCTTGTCTATCTTGGCAATCTGACATAATGTCTTTGTTGTTTATCAAGGAAAGTTCACTGCGTTCGGAGAGCGCTTTGTGTTTTTCAATCTATTTTGCTTCGATAATTGTGGGACAGCTCAGGTGCGAGCTCTGCTGCTGATGATGACGAAGAAGGAGTCAAGGTCAAGACCCCCGAGGCTCGCACATATAATATCATTACACGATTAGTTATCCATGATGTCCATCTCATATAATTAATATATATATATATGTATACATATAAACAGTATATACATATCAACAATATATATATATATATACAAACAATATATATATATAAACAATATATATATATACAAATAATATATATATATATATAAACAATATATATATATACTCAAATAGTATGTATATATACAAACATTATATATATAATATATAATATCCATTGCTATACGTGTCAGATTTTGCGCTGGTGCCATCGGATTTGGGTTGCAGCTTTTGTAAGTGGATGGCAGATATTGGTAGAACCTGAGAGTGCGCGTTAAAACCGTGTCACCAATTTGTGCGCATCTTGCCAGCACGAGCCACTGTTTGAGTTGTTGACAGGAGAAGTACTCAGAAATTGCCAACGAGATCGCAACTCGAGTTCCCGTTACTTGCCTGCAAAAGAAAGAGTGAGCCAGTTGGAGTGAGATCGCGTTCTTGGCAGCCTTGATCTTGGCCAAATCTACTTCACTTGATTTCTTACAGCTGCTTTAAAGATCCCAGGAAGCCTTTGATTTGGGTCATGCATTGCGAACCTATCCAGTGCGCTATGACGAATGTCTCAACACCGTGCTGCACATGGAGTTGGGCAAGTTCAACAGGTCTGGGAAGTAATATGGTGACAGCATGAGATTCTGGCTGTTCTGACTCTTCAGGGACGGAATGGCCCGCGGCAAGTTGGTGTTGATTGCTTCAACTTCATGTTTTGCCCGGAGTGTTCCCTCGGCACTTCAGATCCATCTCTGTCACACTTGTTTTTAAAGTACACCTCCCGCAGGCTGCTGGTTCGAATTAAGGGCACTTGCAGCAACCTGATCAAGGCGCGAATGACTTGGGAACAAACAGCTTGTTAAGGCTGAGCACCCCCAAGTGAATTTCTATTATACAAGCTTCACATTGCTTCACTATGATACTACAACAGGAGATTTGCTTGACTTCTTAGTTTTGTGCAGGGCAATCTCTATCTTCTATGACGATTCTATTATTTTCGATGGGAGAACAGATACCAATACATCCCCGTACATCCTCCAGTTCCAAACAACCGGTGCGCAGGCTGTCAAGGGATTGGTGGTCTTCTCACCAGAGCTTGAAGCAGTTGCCGATGGATGTCCCTCACTTAGAGATAGATCTTAGAGGATTTAGGATCATTTACATACTGTAGGAGCCACGGGTTTTAGCCACTTCATGTCACTTCCCTTGCAACATTTCTCATTTGCACGGTTTGCATGCTACCTCTGATTCCCCGCTTGGCTGATGAGCAGCAGTCACACGTAATCAGATAGTATCAAATATATCTAGATATGAATAACTCTGAATAACCGAAGAAACTATTGTAATACTAATTTAATCTTGCTTTGCCTTAGCCTTGCTGTTGGTTGTGCAAACCTTCATTGCCGATAGGGTACTATACCGATACCTCTGTTTTGCATGAGTCACCTCAAGCAATTAGATTTTGCGTCCACTGCTCCTCCGCTTCCTTCTTTTCTCTACTCTACTGTCTTGTCTTCTCTTGTCGTCTCTTCTCTTCTGTTCTCTTCTCTTCCCTTTTCTTCTCTGCTCTACTCTTCTCTACCTTGCTCTTCTCTACTTTAGTCTACTCTAGTCTACTCTACTTTTCCTTCTTCTGCTCTTACTCCTATTCCTACTCCTCTACGCTTTTCTACTCTACTGTTCTCAAATGTCAAATGTACGCACTTCGGACATTTCTTTCCTAGCCTTCGTTTGATTGCCAATTTGATTATATAGTGCGTGTCTTATCCAACCTCATGATGCGGAACCATTCAAATTCAACAGATCACTTCCTAAACGACACTTAGCCGACTTACATCTTCGCGAACGCAGACATCCTCACTACTGATATGGGACGATCCTAATTTGCGTATGGCATGAACAAGTAATTTTGTCCGCCATTCATATACTTCTTGTCTTTGATTTCCTGCTACTGTCATATCCCACAATATGTGCACACTTGCAGTATGGCACAGTCCTCGCATAGTATTTGACATTGTATTTGCATGTATGTGCATACCACCCAGTGCCTTACAGGCCACCGTCATCTTGAGGTCGCGTAATTATTGGCGTAATTTCCCTTTCTTGCGTTCTTCTTCTGTGCCAAGTAATTGTTTTGCCGTGTTCCGCCATTGCAAGGCTTGACCAACAAGATCCCTGGACCTTGGATGGGTGTCTCCTACCCGTCTTTGAAGCCGTCGCTTGCTTTGCGTTTACGTCAGAGAGTAGACTGCGAGTAGACCATTGTGTACTCTGAGTCCATCTCTTTATCTATCAGTATTCTATCAGTCAGTATCAGTCAGTTCAATGCATCCTGAGTACTCCAAGAGGTTGCAGTCATATGTGGATGCCACCTGGATGCAAGTATCAGCCCATGCACAAGCAGATGCAATTTTTGAGCAAGAGCCAATTGCCAAATTGTGTGCGTTTGTGGGAAAAGCAAGCTGCGTACCAAGGATTTCCTGCTGCGATTGAAGTTCATGAACAACTGGATCAAGGAGACCAAAGTCACCCAATGAATTCTGTTTCGAAGTTTCCCGCAGTGCCAACAAAAAAGCTCAGAGCACTCACAGACCATGAATAACTTTGTTGTTTTCTTGACCAGTGATTTTCTCCTGCATGACGTGATGGGGAAGTACCACATGTGCTCCAGCTTGCCATCCTCGTATTGCAGCCAGGACGGCATTCCTTACATGTTCTGGTTCTCTGCGTACTTCTTCCAGCAGGCCAGTGCTCCATGCCCCAAACCGAACTGGCCAGCTCTCCGAGCTCTCACAGCTCTCCCAGAAAAGATCACTAAGCTTCACTGCAGGCATTCCTCACGGGCGTACTGCAGAACTTTGCCCGAACAGACACTCATCTGAACATCTGCATTCCGAGGTTCCAAGGATGTTTCATGTTGCTTCTATGGAGATTGACTCTCTAAACAGTTTATTGCGTGCAAGATGTCAGGTCCGATGTTCTTGGGTTTTGCACTGAGGACAAGATTGCAATTGATCGCTGCATCTGGAACTTCGAGGCCTGGCTGTACCGTGAAGTACCTTCGGATTGCTTATTGCAGTTCTCAATCTCATGAAGCGGGCTGAAGTGGGTCTTCTGAAGACCGCCCTGTTTACACGCTCTCTTTTCTGCGGAAGGTGCTGAAGGCTGCATTCAAACCGGAGGAGTATCCTCAGAAGGCATGGTCTTTTCACAGATTCCATGTGCTCCGTGTGCGGCAGGGAATTGGCCACACATTTCCCCCCCATACTTCCCCCATTGTTTGGAAGTCCCATATTTCCATATTTGCACCATCTTGCACCATCTTGCACCATCTTGCACCTCTACAGTCTACAGCGACTTTACAGAGAAAGTATACGGAAGTGATTTTTGTATATGTTGTGAGATGTTGTGAACATTTGTGAACCTCGTCTTCTCCCGACTCGTGTCTACTCAGTCTACTTGTCTACTTGTGAAGGGTGCCTATATCAACGGCTTGTTCATGGCTGGAGCTCGCTGGGATGACGACAACATGTGCATTGAGGATTCCTTCCCGAAGGTGCTAGACATGATCGACATATATCGACATGCATTTTTGCAATGGAATGTACAACAAACGCAAAAGGATGCAAAAGGCAAGATCTGATCAAAAGCTTACAGGAATAAGACACTGAAAGTCCAACCTGAGGTGCTGTGGGCTGAGATGTCTCCGGTGTGGCTGAAGCCGGTGCGGGACTGAAAGATTTGGTGGTGTGACTTTGTAAGAGAAAAATGGACAGCTCAGAAAAGGCCCCAAAGGCATCTCCGATGCTGGCAATGCAGCAAATCCAGGAAGAATTTATATCATGTTCTATCATTAATGCGTTTAGTACTTGTCCATTTACATCTACCATGTTGGTCCATTAACATCAACTATGTAAATTACGTAATTATATATAGATGTAATTGGTAACTATGCAAGAGGTCACACTATGTTGTACTTGTGCTCTGCTTGAGATTCAAGGTTGAGAAGTCGGATGATGCGCACAACTACGACAAGCTGTACAATGTTGCTTAGCATTGTCTATGAAAAGGCACAGTTGCAATACTTCAAGACTGTGGCAACATATGGAAAATTTGAGGCTCCAATCTACAAGACGTCCGAGCGCAAGGGTGTGCTGTCCACAAGCCACCTGGTACAATCTGTTTTCGCCTTGACTTGAAGTCACGAAATCGAGACTAGCTGAGATATTCCGCGACAAGAATCCTGCTGAATCCTAACCTTCAAACCTCGGCTGAGGCGGTCACTCCTCCAACTTCATCATGTACCTCGCGATTCCCCACTCCTGCAATGGTGTCCACAGAAATTTGGCTGCATGCACACTACTCGTACTAGTACATCCAATTGTTTACTATATTTACTATTGATTCCTCCCTACATGGGCGGGTTCGTGTGTTTATGCGTGTGAATACACTGTGAATACATTGTGAATACTGAATCTGTCCCTTGTGGGTTGACTTTCTTAGGTGAGGAGTTCTGGACCAAGCGAGGAGTTGCCCTCATTTCGCAAACAGATGACTAGACGTGCCACTCGCTGGAAGATTCCATGCTTTTTGCATCTTTTTGCGAGAAACATGTACACACTTGTAAAATCTTGTAAACATGTACACGCATCCACTGTTCACATCCGATAATAGATGGAGTTTGAGTTTGTTTTTGTTATGCATATATTGAACATTATTGAACTATACTGTATATTATATTATATTATATTACATTATATTATATTATATTATATTATAATATGTTGTATATATTATTTCTGTGGGTTGTTGATGGCTGTCCTTGTCAGCTGCCTTCCGCTAAGGTACCTGTGGGATCAAATGCAGACTTTTCTTGCCTTTGCCAAAGGGGTTGTTCATGCTGAAACGTGTCAATGTGCTAAGTTGTTGTGGCACAACTGCCGCTGCAACACTAAAGTTTTTCCGCGACAATCCCGAGCATTGCTGGAAACCATGCATGCTTGCCACTTTTCGGCAGCCTGAGTGTATCACCAACCATCTAGAAGATACGACAAGTACACAAGACTTCAACCAGACATAGCCAACACATGTCCAGACCTTCTTGGTGTTTTTCTCATGTGCTGCCAGTTGTAAAGCTAATACTGGCGAATGTCAGCATTAGCACTGCAAGTGCCCGGTGCAAGTGCGCTGAATGTTGTGCTTTGTCCGGTCAGAATCGTCCTCGATCGACTGCATGTCGCTTGTTAAACCAAACAGTCCAAGTGCCACCTGCTCCTGAACAGGGGTCCAATCGACTTCAAAGTAGCGTTTTTGTTTTTGCTTTTAATGGAGCATCCGGTTTTGGCAGAACCTTTTCATCAAGCAACTCCGCTTGGATCATCATGCATATTTGATCAATTGTCATGTCTTTCCGTTTATGGACTTGACGTTTTAGGTGGATAAAGGATGATAAAGGTCGATATCTGTAAATGTGTCCTTGTTTATCTTGATGCAGATCCTTTCTCGTAGTAAACCGATGCATCCAGATGCTTTTTGTGGAGCTTAGGTCTCCGCAAGTTGAGCTGGAGCCCCATTGTGCTACATTTGTAGAAAAGAAGAACGAGGCCATGCGCATGATGATGAACGATCATGAAGCAATGCAAGGCCAGAGCGCGTCTTCTTTCTCAGCTGCCCGAGGATGTCCAGCTCATTGTGATGACTTGTGGTGCAAGAAGACTCAGAGATCTGTCAAGAAGACTCAGAAGCTTGCCTCCTCCTTCAGTCTTGACAGATATTAACAGCAGCGCGCGATGCTGGAAGGATCTCTGCTGATCCTTTGCGGGTTCTTAATTTGCAAGATTTGAGCGCTCGATCCTCAGAAACTTTGTCAAGGATGTCAAGTTCGTGATCAAATTAGCCAAGTCAGGCGAGGTCAATCCAAGAATGTCCAAAATATGCTCAGAGAAGACATGAGAAGACATGAGAAGACTAAGGCTGGGCAGTTCGGCCCACTTTTCCGCTGCATAGTGGCATCTTTGATGACCTCTCGGAGGGTGAGGCTGCGTATGTTTACCCTTAGCATCCCTTAGCAGCTTTAGCACGTCCGAAATTTCCCTACTCTTAAGATCTCTTAAGTGCTTGTCAGGTGCAACACTCGTTTTGTGGCTGTCTTGGGCTCCAAAGAAGTGGCTTGGTAAAGTTGGAGGAAGAAATTGAAGACGCAAACGCACTCGGCACAGACATCAAATCACATCAAGCTGGTGTGGATAGTCATTCGCGTCATTCGCACCACCTGCTGCTGCAAGCCTCTGGCTAAGGTAGATGAGACTCTTCTGAACGCCAAGCATTTGCCTGAGCCCACCGTGAGTTATAATAATGGGAGTGATCTGTGAGCATTTGTGAGCTATACTGAATCAAACCTATGCCGTAATACTGCAATACCATGAAATCTAGTGAACTATGACATATGCCTCTCCCATTTTTTCCCTTTTGATGCCAAATAAATATCCGCTCACATTGCATCGTAGTTACATCTAATTCCCAGATTGCCCCTCCTTCACCTCAATTTATCGGGCAGATCGCCTCACTTGCGCCTGGAGCTGGTTGGCGACGAGGCCCTTGAAAGGGTTCATAAACGTCTTGAGAATCGGAAGATCTCCTTGTACTTCTTGACACATCATAGAGATCTCAAAACATTGACCCAAACATATCCAAACAATTCCAAACTGCCACATGAATCCAAAGTTTAGACACGATTTGCCAGTTGAACCATGTGCAGTTGCAACCTTGGCCACGCAGATCAAGATGATGTATGCGGAAGAAGTTTGGGTGGCAGCAACATTTCAAAAAGCTGTACAACGCTTCAGGTCTGACCGCCGATCATTGTTTCCCTGCTGCTTGAGTGACAGCACAACGTTAGGATCAGAACTGTGTGTATACTCCAAAAAGCTAAGATGACTGGTAGGTTGCGATGTGATGCAACCAGGAAATCTCTAGTGGTTTCTTGATGTTGACTAGTGTGAACTAGATCATGACAGTACGATTGCCAGGTCGGAGTTGCAAGTGCAACTTCGAACTGAAACAGATACATGCGGAAATGAACCAATCACATACAATCTATTCATATCTATTCATATGATATCTATTGATATCTATTCCTTTCTATTCATATCCATTCATATCTATTCATATCCATTCATGTCTATTCATATCTATTCTATTCATATCTATTCTATTCTATTCTATCCGTTTCTTTTCTATTCCAATCTATTCTATTCTATCCTCTTCTATTCTATTCTATCCTATTCTATTCTATCCTATTCTATCCTATTCTATGCTATTCTATCCTTTTCTTTTCTATTCCAATCTATTCTATTCTATCCTCTTCTATTCTATCCTACTAGTATTCTATTCTAATCTATCCTTTTCTTTTCTATTCTAATCTATTCTAGTCTATCCTCTTCTATTCTATCCTCTTCTATTCTATCCTGTTCTAATCTATCCTATTCTATTCTATCCTACTAGTATTCTATTCTATTCTATCCTTTTCTTTTCTATTCTAATCTATTCTAGTCTATCCTCTTCTATTCTATTCTATCCTTTTCTTTTCTATTCTAATATATTCCATTCTATCCTATTCTATTCTATCCTATTCTATTCTCTCCTATTATATTCTATTCTATTCTATCCTATTTCATTCTATCCCATTCTATTCTATCCTATCCTATTCTATCCTATTCTATTCTTCTCTATCCTATCCTATTCTATTCTATTCTGTCCTATTCTATTCTATTCTCTCCTATTCTATTCTATTCTATCCTATTCTATTCTATCCTACTAGTATTCTATTCTATTCTATCGTATTATATTCTATCCTATTCTATTCTATCCTATTCTATCCTATTCTATCCTATTCTATTCTATTCTATCCTTTTCTATCCTATTCTATTCTATCCTATTTCATTCTATCCTATTCTATTCTATCCTATCCTATTCTATTTCTATCCTTTTCTATTCTATCCTATTCTATTCTCTCCTATTCTATTCTATCCTATTCTATTCTATCCGTTTCTTTTCTATTCTATCCTATTCTATCCTATTCTATTCTATTCTATTCTAGTCTATCCTCTTCTATTCTACTCTACTGTACCCTTTTCCTTTCTAATATATTCCAAGCTATCCTATTCTATTCTATCCTATTCTAGTCTATTCTATCGTATTATATTCTCTCCTATTCTATTCTATCCTCATTTACAGTATTCTATTCTATCCTATTCTATTCTATCCTATTTCATTCTATTCTATTCTATTCTATTCTCCTATTCTATTCTATTCTATCCTATTTCATTCTATCCTATTCTATTCTATCCTATCCTATTCTATCCTATTCTATTCTTTTCTATTCTATCCTATTCTATTCTATCCTATTCTATTCTATTCTATTCTATCCTACTAGTATTCTATTCTATTCTATTCTATCGTATTCTATTCTATCCTATTCTATTCTATTCTATCCTATTCTATCCTATTCTATCCTATTCTATTCTATTCTATTCTATCCTATTTCATTCTATCCTATTCTATTCTATCCTATTCTATTCTATTCTATCCTATTCTATTCTATTCTATCCTATTCTATTCTATCCTTTTCTATCTATTCTATTCTATCCTAATCTATTCTAGTCTATCTTCTATTCTATCCTATTCTTCTATCCTATTCTATTCTATCCTTTTCTATCCTATTCTATTCTAGTCTATCCTCTTCTATTCTACTCTATCCTTTTCTTTTCTAATATACTGTATTCTATTCTATCCTATTTTTTTTCTATTCTATCCTATTCCATTCTATCCTATTCTATTCTATTCTTGTCTTCAGCATACCTGAAGAATCGTAGATAGACTAACTGCCAGGCACAAGTAGCGGTTCATGTCACAAGCTCTGGCCTGACCAATGCTGCGCCAGTGACCCCGAGTTGGGCAAAACCTGGGCAAAGAGCGCTCGAACAGCTGGATGGAGGCTTTTTTACATGTTGAGCAACTTGAAGACGAAGACTCGCTCCAATGTAACGACTTGAACACATAGAGATACCGGTAAAATATGGTAACATATGGTAAAATGATAGAAGTATAACCATAAGACTATAAGACTGTAAGACTATAACATACTATACCACTATAACCGTTTAACCGTCATCTTATGAGTGGTTGGGTTTCGAGCATCTCGAGCTCATAGAGATGATCTAACGACATCTAAAGTATCAAAGATTTACGCTTGGAGGATGGAGGTCAGAAGCGTAAATCAAGTGATCAGAACACCCCAACTCTCGAGTTCAATCAGAACACACCAATGGATGCAAATATATGCGAGTGGTTTGACAATTTGAGCATCAATCAAGTCTTTTCGGCTTACGACTCCAGGCTTTCTCACTGCGAATCGGTTCAAGCAGCTTTCCAAGACCCACAACTCAGACCTTTTTTTGGCTGACAGATCTTGGATGATCTTGGTCAAATTTGAGATTTTTGAGTTGCTCCAATGTTTGCTCATCATACCAGGTTTATTGCATGATGCCCAGTCATTATACACTTGATAGCGATGCCGCTTGCAGCACACAATGTCTGATTCAAACCAAGCAATCTCGTCCGCGAGGATGTAACCCACGGGGAACAAACTGTCGCATTCCCAAATGATTCCAGTCTGTGCCGTGAATTGGGGATGGGTCAAAACCCTGGTACCGTGCCGTGAACCCCAAAATAGGTGGTAAATGGATGTTCATCCCACTAAAAATGGTATCTATAGGTATTGACCCATACTCAATTAATTTCAATCTTGCAGTATGAGTCTCAAAGCAGGGCCATCGAAAGGATTGTGTTTGATCCGGGTCACATTTTGCTTTCGCTCTTGTG